AACCAGGGACTAGTTCGCAAAAGTAGGTTTTTAACATATTCGTGAATATTTAATGAACGATTTGATTGACAGCAATGGTTCTAGAGGCAAAGTTGTTCACCATGAGGATATCTATAAAATGATATGCATTTTGGGGGGATGTGTGCAACACCACGTGATTACAGAGCCGTAAAACTCGTTAGCGCCAACTAGTGGCCAATTTCTTTCAAAACTCTTACAGACCTCTTAGGCCATGAGTCGAACATGCCCATCGAGTTTCGTTCCGATTGGCCTCCGTTAACCTCGTCTCATAGGGGCTCAAACTTCATTGGTCAATGGCGGCCATGTTTTTTGAGATACGCCAATGTCCTCATAGACATACATGGGGCCTTGGACCAAGACACTGCATACCAATTTTCAAGTCAATCGGACTAACGGTCAGTCCTTTATATGTTTTTTTCATGTTATAGCGCCACCTAGTGTTCGATCGTCGCGATTTTTTTACTGTGACCTCAGATTGAACTCATGCACAACTGTACCAAGTTTGGTGAACCTACCTAATTTACTTCTGGAGTTATAGTCGTTTTAGTAAAATAGGCTCCTCCCACAACGTTCTTTTTGCGCCCCCTAGCGACCGGAAATCGAAATTTCAACTTTTTTACGATTATAATTTATATTCAGACTCCACAGAACATTTGTGCACTGGTTTGGTTCCGATCGGGCAAAAAATCAGGGACTAGTTCGCAAAAGTCGTTTTTTTACAAAATTCAAAATGGCGGAAAATCTATCATGACGGAAATGAAATCGGAGATATACGTTTTTTAAGTCAGGAGTCCAGCTTTCCAATGATATAAGACACTTGAGTCTACGATTTACGGTCTAGGAGTTATGAGCAGTTTTGCGCAATTGGTTGCTATAGCGCCACCTATGGGCCAATCGGGCTCATAATTTGATAAGCTCTCCTCGATTTTTGTACTACCATCTGACAAAGTTTCAAGTCTCTAGCACTTACGGTTTGGTCTGCACGATGCGTTTTACGGCAGAAGAATAATAATAATAATAATAATAATAATAATAATTAAAGCTGCTAGCAGCATTTAGCGGTGTTCAAGCAGTTAAGGCCTTTAAGGCCGTTAAGCACAAAAGCATCAAAAGACATTAAGTTTTATGTAGCAAGCGTTTAACCATTGACATCATAGATGAAATAGACCATGTTTTAGCATGATTTACTATGATATACCAAATTTAGTGTGATTTTTCATGATCTACCATGTTCCAGTATGATTTACCATGAATCTAGCATGATTTACCACAGTTTACCAGGTTTTACCATGTTATAGGATGATTTACCATGATATACCACATTGTAGAATGATTTACCAGGATCGTAGCATCATTTACCATGATTCATCACATTGCTAGCATGATTTGCCATGATACACCATGTAATAGTATTTTTTACTATGATTTACCATGTTTCTATCGTGATTTACCATGATTGCCCACATTGCTGCATTGATGTGAAGTGCCAATAAAAATGAAGTGATAAACTCTGACAAAAAATGATTGTGTTATAATAGTTAACATGGAAAAACTGGTTTGCAGAATAATGGTGAAAATCAAGTGTGTCAAAATGAGAGTAAGCCAATAAGTGGTCTTCTACTGCCCTCTGCTGGCCACTCTACTTATTAATAAAGTGTTTTCACGGGTGCTTTTGCACTCATATGTAGACATTTGCTCACACACACACACACACACACACACACAAAGTCATTATGAAAATATATTTTAATGGTCTATAAGCATTTCATGTCTTTGCAAGCTATTAATCAGATTATTCAGAATTTATTCATAAACATGGGACTACACACACACACACACATTCTATTGTAGATTAAACTGTCTCATTCAGGGTTCACATTTGTCAATGTGACAATGAATTTTGACTAAATGTGAGTGTAAATGTTAAAATAGTGATTTTATAAAGTGTAAATATGAATTATAGAATAATATTAGTTAGTAGCATGACAAAATGACTATTTTAAACAGCAGGGGGCAGTAAAATACCACTTATTGGCTTAATATGCCAGTGTTCATATCATTTTCACCTTTTTAATTGTTATAGAGGCATATTTTGTCCGATTTGTCTGAAATTTTTCATGCTTGTTTAGAGTCACGTGTCACATGTTCTGACTTGATTTGAAGAAGATCTGAGCATTCATTGAAGAGATATAGGCGTTTGGGGACACTTGGTCAAAGCTACATATTGAAGTGACCCTATTAAAGCCATCCAAATGAAGAAGTTATACCTTTTCTGATATTTATTGATCTAGAGAGTCCAGAGAATTGTACTGCACTGGTTTAGAACATTATGATATGAACTTTATATGATCATAGATGGAAAAGACCATTTACAGCCAATACAGGCAATTTACCATAGGAAATGTATGGTTTTAAAGCTTTTTAACAGTTATAGCGCCACCTATGGTCCGATCTCCATGACACTTTGCATGCTTCTTCAGCATGTTATGACACATATGCTCATCAATTTTTGTCAAGTTCTGAGTTTTTGTTTATGATTTATAGGCTTTTGAGTGCATTTTGACACGCGCCTTTTTATAAATGATCCTGTTATAATAAACCAAATGGCAAATTTCAACTTTTTTTTAATAATTATTGATCTAGAGAGTCCAGAGAATTGTCCTAGACTGGTCTGGTTCCGATCGGGCAAAAAAACAGGGACTAGTTCGCAAAAGTAGGTTTTTAACATATTCGTGAATATTTAATGAACGATTTGATTGACAGCAATGGTTCTAGAGGCAAAGTTGTTCACCATGAGGAGATCTATCAAATGATATGCATTTTGGGGGGATGTGTGCAACACCACGTGATTACAGAGCCGTAAAACTCGTTAGCGCCAACTAGTGGCCGATTTCTTTCAAAACTCTTACAGACCTCTTGGGCCATGAGATGAACATGCCCATCGAGTTTCGTTCCGATTGGCCTTCGTTAACCTTGTCTCATAGGTGCTTAAACTTCATTGGTCGATGGTGGCCATGTTTTTTGAGATACGCCAATATCCTTTTATACATACATGGTACCTTGGACCAAGACACTGCATACCAAATTTCGAGTCAATCGGACTAACGGTCAGGTGGCCACACCCCCTTTTATGTTTTTTTAATGTTATAGCGCCACCTAGTGTTCGATCGTCGCGATTTTTTTACTGTCACCTCAAATTGAGCTCATACATAGCTGTACCGAGTTTGGTAAAAATATCTCATTTCGTTCACGAGTTATAGCCATTTTAGTAAAATAGGCTCCGCCTCCTGCGAACGTTTTGACGCCCCTTAGTGACAGTGAATCGAAATTTCAACTTTTTTTCAATAATTATTGATATTCAGACTCCAGAGAACATTTCTGCACTGGTTTGGTTCTGATCGGGCAAAAAACCTAGGACTAGTTCGCAAAAGTAGGTTTTGGACAAAACCGGAAATAGCGAAAAAATTTGCATACCGGAAATGAAATCCTTGAGGCCTTTTTTGTTCGGCTTGAGCCAAGGATTCCAATGATATAAGACACTTGAGGCTGGGACAAAGGGTTATTGAGATTTAAGGAAAATAGTGCCATTTTTTTGTTTTTTGCGCTATAGCGCCACCTATGGGCCAATCGGGCTCATAATTTGATAACCTCTCCTCGATTTTTGTACTACCTACTGGCAAAGTTTCAGAGCTCCAGCACTTACGGTTTGGGCTGCACGATGCGTTTTAGGGGAAAATAATAATAATAATAATAAAAATCCTTACAATTACAATAGGTTTTCAGCACTTCGTGCTTGAACACCTAATAAAAATCAGTACAAATACAATAGGTTTTCAGCACTTCGTGCTTGAACACCTAAAAATCAGTACAAATACAATAGGTTTTCAGCACTTCGTGCTTGAACACCTAAAAATCCTTACAATTACAATAGGTTTTCAGCACTTTGTGCTTGAACACCTAATAATAAGCGACCTTTTTGGCGGTTATAGCGCCACCTATGGTCCGATCTCCATGAAACTTTGCATGCTTCCTCAGCATGTTAGGACACATATGCTCATCAATTTTGGTGAACTTCGGACTTTTTCTTCAGGATTTATAGGCTTTTGACTGCATTTTGCCCTGAACCATTCCCTAAATGACCCTGTTATAGCCAACCAAATGCAAATTTTCAACTTTTTTTCGATAATTATTGATCCTCTCACTCCAGAGAACATTTCTGCACCAGTTTGGTTCCGATCAGGCAAAAAACCAGGGACTAGTTTGCAAAAGTAGGTTTTGGACAAAATCGGCCATAAATTTTTTTCCGATGCTCAAATCGCAAATCCGAGATATACATCTTGTTCGTCCTGAGCCAGGGATCACAGGGATGTGAAAATCCTGATTCTATGTCAAACGGCTGAGGAGTTATAGCCATTTTAGTAAATCGTGTTGCTGTGGCGCCACCTATGGGCCAATCGGGCTCATAGTTTGATAACCTCTCCTCGATTTTTGTACTACCATCTGGCAAAGTTTCAGAGCTCCAGCACTTACAGTTTGGGCTGCACGATGCGTTTTAGGGGAAAATAATAATAATAATAATAATAAAAATCGGAACGAATACAATAGGTTTTCAGCACTTTGTGCTTGAACACCTAAAAATCCTTACAATTACAATAGGTTTTCAGCACTTCGTGCTTGAACACCTAATGAACATATATCGGCAATACCGATATGGTGGCCGATATATCGTGCATCCCAACTTTGGTTCATTAATGTGTGTTATTTTGGCTGTAAAGTTCTGCCTTACATTTTATGGTTATGAGTAACAATCCTGTATATAATTATATAGTTTTTCTTAGTAAACAATTCCCTTCAGGGATCCTTGTGTGTGTGTGTCATGTGAACATAGACACTTGTACATAAAACTTATGAAACCCAGAGAATTCCCAGATTCAGTAATGAAGTCATTGTTGATAAATGATCAATTCTGTTATACTCACAGCCTCCTCTTACTGTTACATTGCAGATATCGTCTGTTTTTCCATTGCACATGCAGCGAATATGCCATGTATGTTTTATTGCAATAGAGAAGTTGAAGGTTTCTTTGGCACTGACACATGCGCTGGGTAACAGATGTCTGTGCCCCGGTGTGATAACCCAAAGCTGGAAGAGATCACAACTTTTTGCTCTTCCCCGTGCACTCGTGTGGCACACAACGGACACATTGTGGCCCACAGGATGAGCTCGATTCCACCAGCAGTTTACATCCACTTCAAAAGAGGCTGAATAAATAAAGAAGACAATGAATAGCAGCAAGAACAAGTTGGGGGAAAGATGCATACCTGCACTCAGTTCCACAAAAACATGCAAACGAAGTTTAACATGAATTCAATAATCCATCATTTAAATGATAAGGTTATTGAATTCATGTTAAACTTTGTTTGCATATTTTTGACATGATTTCAATATTTAATGTATTGTGAAAGCTGAAAAAACCCCACTAATTTGTATAAAGTATAGATAAATTTTCCAAAGATGTTTAAAAAAGTTTGTAGTATGCCTAAAAAGTATTTGGACACTTAATGTATAAATGTTACTGGAATAGATGCCAACTAAGTGGGCATCTGCCAACTAATGCTGCTAGAGCTTCACTTTTGTAAGGTATTTTGCTATTATGTGTGAAATTGTGATGTTTCATAATTTAAAAGCTAAAAACTTTTGTGAAAGGTGTGCTTGTGCTATCTTTTATTACATATTAAGATATAAAATCCACACACAAAAAAAAACAGTTTTGCTCACCTTGAGAGCATATCCACATGTACAGTAGTATAAGAAAACGTAATTTTACATTCTGCCATGCCATCGCTCACGTTATTCGCCAACGCAAAAAGTCCAGTATTACGCAACGTCCCGTTAACCGAGTAATTGCACGTTTACGGGAAGTCCAGACATTTGTTGGTTACGCTGCAAAGTGACATCGCTGACCAGCAAGGAGCACGTGAAAGTTCTTCCGCCAGTCCACTTAAAAGTAATTCTCTAACGTTACAGCCTGGAACGAGCATTTTCTATTTCTTGTTATATTGTTACCATATGTTTGTTGTAGCTAAAGTTTTCCGTTTAGTTGCCGTCACTGTGCTCATCCTTCTTCAGGCAGACAAGCTCAAACTCGCTTCACAAGTAAACGAAACAGACCACGCCTGTACGTGAGCGCGCAGCACAAGACTTCGCCCACACGTCACTACTACGCAAAGCCCGTTGACCAATCAGATCAAGGGGAACTTGCTCTTGTGTGCTGCAGTGAGGAGCTAAAATGAACTTTAGCAAAAGGGGAAACTGCTTGACTAGTTTGTTTCTGTGAGACTATGCGCCAACTAAACTCGCACTGTATATAACTGGTAAACTAAAAATGTGCTTTACATGGTAACTTCTAAATGAACAGTTTTTATTCAAGTCAAAAAAGAAAGAATGGATCCACTGATTACACTGGGTCAGATTCCACCGAGTCGATGCAGAAATAGCTCTTTTAGGTCGTCTTTGCTTTGCTTATTGTGCTGTGCGGATTGGCTAATTTGATTGGTCAATGTATGATTAGTCATAATTCCGCATCCAGCAAGTGTTTTTTGTTTTGTTTGTTTGTTTTTGTGGAAACTGTCCATTCTAAACTATTTTTTAGCTTCCCCTTTTGAACGGAGTAGACACTAAATTGCCTAAAGATAGACAGTGGGGTCCAAAAGTGTGCGACTAATGAAAGCACTTCTATGTTGTAATTTTCCTTATTTAAGACATTTTATTACAAATTATGTTATCAGAAAAAGGGCAGGATTTTTTTCTCTTTTTTTTTAGCATTTGATATGTCTCCCATTTCACCTCTAATTTCCAACATGATTTCAGAATGTTCCAAAGACCATCTTGTGCTTCAATTAATTTATCATTAAATAACTGAGTTACTTTACAGGTCTCATTTGTGAACATTAGTTAATGTTGTATTCACTAACATGAACTGCAAAACATTTGTTACAGTATTTATTGATCTTTATTAATGTTAGTTGCTAAAAATCAGGCTGTTCATTGTTTGTTCACGTTAGTTCAAAGACTAGCATTAACTAATGTTAACAAATGTAACTTGTTATTTTAATAATGTATTAGTAAATATTGAAATTAACATTAACTACGATTAGTAAAAGCTAAGTACTATTGTTAATTCTTATGTTATAGTTAACTAATGAACCCTTATTGTAAAGTGTTACCAATATCTGCTCTTCATGTATATTTTACATTTATATAAATCCTTAAACTTGTTTCTAAGTGTATAGGATTAAAAGCTTCCAATGTGAACACACTGTACATTTGTTCATATTTCAGCACAGACTGATTCATCAACAATCAATGCAAATAATCATCTTTATTCAAGATTGAAATATTGAAATTAAACATATTGAATGCAAAAAACTTATTACATACAACATCTAAATCACTGTTTAAATGAACTGTGACATGGGAGCTCAATGCAAACAATTTAGGTTTCTCAAGTACAATGAACAGAGACAGAAACATTCAACAGAGGACGGGGTGTAGAAGCACAAACACACACATACTCTCTTTTCTTCACTCATGCCACAGAGAAGGTTAGTCTTAGCAAAGTGAGCTGATTTCTCCTTTGCTGCAGCCCCACTTGCAGCAGGCGTTGGACAGTCCCACCACTACATCGCGTCCCTTTCTGTCAACGGTGCGCAAGGCTTCAAGCACCTCCTCTGATATGAGAGAGCGCGCAGGCCTGCTGAACACGCCACCTTCCTGTTCACCTTGTGCCAGTGACGGAAGGCTTGAGTCAGATGCATGCTGGGAGGATGTTGCAGCACCGTAAAGCACTGAGGTATCTGCAGCATTATTGTCATATGTGTTCAATAGGTCCAGTATTTCATCTGCGCAACATAAGAGATGTCCATTTATGTAATAGTTGTAAAGTAGAAGATGGATAAGTAAGTGATAGTATGTACAAGTCAGAGAGGTTTGTATACACTTTGAAGAATCTCAAATATATAAGAGTTTTGAGCTACTGTTCAAAAGTCGGTGTGATTTTTATTTTATTTTGAAAGAAGTATATGCCCACCAAGGTTTGCATTTATTGATTAAAAAAATGATATTGTGATGTTTTATTACAATTTTAAATAACAGTGTTCCATTGTAATATATTTTAAATATATAATTTAGTCCTTTGATCAAAGCTGAATTTTCAGCATCATCACTGTAAAAAATTACATGAAACATATGTTTTTACAATGTATGTTTGATGTTCATACATCAAAATAAGTTAGGCAATTTTTAACTTTTTTAAAATGTTATACAAGATTCAACAAATTTGTTAAGTCAGTTTAATGTGATTTAAGTTTAAATGATGTAAACATCTGAAAAATTGAAGGCAACAACTCTTTTTTTACAGAGATTCAGTCACTTCTATGTTGTATTTTTCCTTATTTAAGACATTTTATTACAAGTTATATGTTAAAAGGAAGGATTTTTTTTTTAGCATTTGATATCTGTTCTTCATTGTATATTTTATATTTATTTAAATCCAAGTGAATTGAACTAAAAGCTTCCAATGTGAAAAAACTTTGGTGCCACTTCATAAATCCTTCTAATATGATGATTTGATGCTCAAGAAACATTATTATTATTATCAATGTTGAAAACAGTTGTGACACTTTTTGATGAATAGAAAGTTCAAAACAGCATTTATTTTAAATGTTTTGTAACATATAAATGTCTTTACTGTCCATTTTTTTATTTAATGCATCATTGCTGAATAAAAGTATTTAGTTTATTTCTTTTAAATAAATTATACTGACCCCAAACTTTTGAATATTAGTGTACATAATTCCCATAGTTCCATTTTTGCTATATTTTTTTATTACTGTGCTATAGTAAAACCCAGTGAAAACAATGAATAAGTGTATAGCCTATATCCAAACTTTTGACCGGTCATGTATTTGTAATATTTTTGGGATCAAAGTATTTTAAAATTCAACATTTTTTACATTTGTATTGCCTTTTAAATATATAATCATTTTATGAGTTTTAAAAAAAAAAAAAAAAAAAAACCATAACTGACCAGTAAAAAGTGAAATTAAGACTCCTGCTCTGGGTCTTCAAAACTAACCTGTGTTTGTTAAGGAGCGTTTCCATCGAGAGCCTCCGCAGGTGAAGATGACAGCGCGGATGAACTCCCGGCCGCATAATTTGACCCCATATGAGGGGCCGTCCAGTGCCTTTACTCCGGCCAGGAGCAGACACACTGCGAGCGCTGTGGTTTTCCACATCATGCTGAGAGCAGATATTCACTGACAGTAGAGGTTGATGTTCAGAAGCTGGTTTCCTGCTGGGATCCCTTTGGTTCGGAACCAGATGCCTGTTTGATGATTTTTCCTGGGTTCCTATTCCTGCTTATAAAGAGATGAGAGGCACACATGCTCATACACCCCCCTCACCCCCGCAGGCAGGCAGGAGTCACAGATAACCCTGTAAGATAAAGTCAGAGACCTTTCTGGAAACAAAAGCAATAGCAGGAAAGGTGATTGTGTAATTATAAAAGATGCACTGGCGTACTGTGACATGAAACACTCTCCCCGTTTAAATGAATGAATCATATTTGCAATACGACTCATTTCAAGTCATTGTTGTGTGCAAAATTGACTTACAATTTGAATTTGTAGTCTGTTACTGATTACACATTTTATGACAGAAATTGTAGTTAGTAATCTTTTATATTACATATAATCTGACTACTGTCGGATTACTTTTACATTACTTTTGACCTATTATGTATCACTATGTATAAGTTGAATAAGATTATTATATAACAAAATACAAAGAGAAAGAAAATATACATTCTACAACATGAAGTGCATTAGGGGTCCATGACGAAAAGCTTAAATAAATACTTAATTAAATAATAAAATGTAAAATAAAAATAAATAATTTAAAAATAAAAACACACTAACTAAGAAAATATGTATTTAATTTATTTACCTAAATTATGTATTTATTTAATATGTAATCACGCAAATCCATAAAAAGTAATTTTAATCTGATTATGAGCTTTTTAAAATTAAAGGTTCAATAGATGATTCTCTACAGAATATTTGTTTGTTATGGTGGTTGAGGAAAGTCTCCTCATATCCTCATAGCAAATGTGTATTTTTATAGATATCATCTGTGGAAAGCGTATGCTTTATTATTATTTTTTAAATCATGTAGAAATAGTACAATTGGGGACTGGTTGTCAGGATATTGGAATGCCAGGCTATGCAATTGCCACAAGGTTCTGGTTGGTTATGGCTGCAAAAAAAAAAAGTGCACTCGTTTTATCATCCACTGGGTGAAAATTGTAAGTCTGATCACTTATGAAAGTATAACAACACACCTCTCATAAATCTGTGTACCGAGTTCACCCAAATGCTTGTTTTACCTTCTTTGCACTTCTATGCATAATTTATTTTTCCTTTTTTTTCAGAAGATGTGATGACTGAGGTTAAAGGTTAAGAGACAAAGAGATGTAGCGAGCATGGCATTTTCAAAGTGTGATAACACAGTCCATTGCACATGGCAATCTTTGTACCCACATGGACAAAGGTCGCCAATTTCCAAAATGACAACAGAATAATGAATTTTTAATGAATGTGATGATAACAATGACAACAACATGACATTTCGAGAGACATTAACCATAATGTTTGACGTTTACAACTTCGCCTGCAAGGATGGTGGCCATGTGGACGTCTGTGTTTGGTTTATACAAATATTTAAATATAGAATATATTATTTTAAATCTATAAGGATAAAATTGCAGGTCCATCATGTTCATGAGTGACACAAAATGTTAAAATGTCCCAGATCTATTAAGTTATTCAAAATATAGGCTATGCAATTCATACAAAAAATAAATAACTTGAATACACCTTGAAAACACATTTTAAATTAAAAGTAATATTTAAATATAATTAAATAATAATAATAAAAAATTAAAAGTGTGTTTAATTAAAGCAAGAATGGTGGCCACAGGCCTCTGTTTTTAGTTTATACAGATATTTAAATATAGCATATATTATTTTAAATCTTTTAGAAGCAATTGCATATCCATCATGTTCATGAGTGACACAACATTTTTATTTTTTATATGCAATTTATGCAAAAAATAACTAAAAGTAGTCAAATACTAATTAAATAATATTTAAATATAACTAATTAATTAAATTTAAAAAAGTAAAATGTATAGGTGATGTATTTTCATTAAAAAAATTACATATCAAAGTTTATACATTTTTTATATTTCGTATTTATGCTAGATCATGTTAACAGCTCGTATAGGCTACAACGTAGATTCAGATCAGCTTTCTGTCAGTTGTGCTGTAATAGTAATACTTTAACGAAACAACACGACTGATTCCAGATCAGTACATAAACACCCGTGTGATTGACACGGTTCAGACAAACCAGCTGCTGAAGGTCGCATCGGCTCCCCAGTTCCACAAATAGGAAGACGCGGCGTTATAGTTATTGTACCTGGACCAATCAGAGCGAAGAAATGGGGCGGGAACACAGCGAGTGGGTAGCAACAGTTGCCTGGGTGAGGACGAAGCGCCATAGCCACGGTAGTCGTGGTGACAAGAACCCAGCAACGAGAATCAACAACAACAACCCGATTCATTGAAAAAAGCATTAAATCAAAAGTACCGCTGGAAAAGTCACTCGGAATAAGAGGTGATTTCGTTTTTTATATTTCATATGAAGTCACACTATGTTGAAAACCGAAGCAGGTGCGAGGATGATAATATTCTTGGCGTCTATCGATGTCCAGTAATCATTATTGGTGGCGGGGATTGCTAAGCGATCGAGTCGCGCGCTGTAGCCTGATGCGTCTCATAAACGATAGGCATGACCAACAGCCTCAGCAAAAGCTGCTCGTTGTTGTTATGACGATATACTAGACAGGTTGTACAAAATGGCGGGTGTTGTTTGCAATAATACGCGAGTCTCCATACCACACATTGCTGGATAGACACCCATCCATAGCATTCGGCTAGCGTTGCTATGGAGCCAGGTGTTATAAACGCTGTTGGCATAGTTACACCGACGAGCACGCGGACAAACCCGCAGTTATTGCTGGATAAACCAGAGACCCTCTTGTCCTTAACCTCACTGATTATTGGATATGGAACCATATGTAATAATGTGCCGAAATAACATTCCGTTCATTGTAAATAATATACAAATGCGCTCATGCAAACCAGGGAATCTGAGTGCGCAGATAGCCTAGTGTTTGCACGTCAAGAAAATGTAATTATTTTCTGCAATATTTAATCTTTCTGCATTATTTTGTGTTTACTTCATGATTATAGTAACCGTGATCAAAGACTTCTTTTGATTTAATTATGATTGTGAGGTGCATATGCATATATTATAGAAGAATAGACTGGATTGATCCTATTGATGATATCAATACTTGATAATTTATGTAAATAATATTTGTATTTTATTACAATACATTATTATTGTGGACCATTATTATAATTATTATATTATACTTTTATTTATGCAGGGCCTTTCATGAACCAAGTGATGTAGAACCAAATAAGTGCAACAACAACATTCATAAGAATACAAAGGAAACTAGATGTATAGCTACAGGCTTGATTCGAGGATTGTTGCGTAATTGAATCGTGAGGTTGAGAGATTAGAGTAACAGCAATGAAGTAAATTGGTACTGACACATGACATTATTGGGTAGGTTGTGTTACAAATGCTGGTAACAGTAGAAGACAAACAGTTTTAAAGATCTAAGACCACATATGGTTGTTATTTATTAGAGAAATACACCTTCATTTAAGGGTGGTTCTTCAACTACAGGCACTTCTTGTGAACTTGAGGGGGAAAAAAAGTGTTCAAATCAAAATTGTTACAGTCTAACAGTTAAATATAACTAGTCTAGTTTGATGATCCATAAGCAAACGCACTTACATTATAAGACAAATTGGTGTTTTTTGACATATTTTCCGATCCGCACTGAACAAATGTCATTTCCATCACATGTAAATATTTGATTATTATTTTAAAATATTATGATATAGATCATTTCTTAACAGTGTAAGACCACTTTCACACATAGTATTACCAGTTTATACCTATATTGCAATTACCATAGATTTGTGGATTAAGTAAATTATTTGTCATGAGGCCCAAACACAAAGCTTACATCCACCACAACTTGAAATATAATATTGGATTGGTTAGATACATTTAAGAAAAATAACTACTTGTGTTATTACATTAAGTGGACCATTATCCCATAAACTATGCAGAAGTTTTTAATGAGTGATTAGAATTTTGTATATATTTTTAAAAAAGTTATGAGGGGGTGGAAATGACTGGGTGTTGTGGAAATGACAATGAATGGACGTCCATGTAGAAAAACAGAAGACATTTATTTGAAACTTTCTGAAACAGACAATTCCATTTAACAAATCATTAATCTCATTAGTCTTTAGTTTGTTTGGTTCTGTTTTGGTATAGGACTGAGACCTTTCTGCAGTTGACTTCCGCGGCATCTTAAAAATAGATGAAAAGGCATTTCAACAAATATATATTTCAATAAATACATTAGCATTGTACATTTCAATAAATAAAATATACATATGTAGCCCCACAATCTATGAATTGCACCTTGTAAGCATAAATGTCATTTCCACCTCACCTTTGTCATTTCCACCCAAGAAGGTGTTGGAAATGACGGTGGTGGAAATGACAATCCTGCAGTATTTTGGAAAGAAATCCAAGCTAGTATTACAGATTAGCTATGAATTGGTAGCTAGCATTGCATGCATGCAAAATACATCTATTTATGTTAAAAATTCTATTTATTTACAAACTCAATTGATCTTACGCCATGTTTGGAAATGACATACAATAAAAATATTTTCATTTCAAGCAATATTTACCTTGAGTTTTCTTCTCCAAGTTGGTGAAGAAATTAAAAGTCTCCTCCATGTCAGACATGTGCTGTGATGTCATTGTTCATCTCCATAGAAACTACCCAAACAATCTTTCAAAAAAGCCTTTTAAAAGGTTCATTACAGCGTTGTGGTGGAAATGACGGCAATACTGTGGGACAACTACATTTTGTATATAAAATCACATTAATAGTTGTCTGACCTTAAATACCACAATTATGTTTTGATTATTTTACTGTTACTTTATACAGTCATATTAAAAAAAAATAGATAAATCATTTTTTTACACTTCTTTTTCATTATTGAAGATCAGAAGTCTGGGTATGGGACAAGCACAAAACAGCAATATTTGCATCTATAATGATATTTAAAAAGGTGAAAAAATCATCGTAGACTACCGGTAAAAAGTTTCTAAAGTACTTTCATTGTAAAGTTAACTATGAAAGTGTGAATTTTTCAAAATTAAATGTTTTTTATAAAATATGATCAAAGGACATGAAAGTGCCCATAATCTAAGAATTGCCCTTAAATTGAATTTTCATTTTTTTGTTTCCGAGTCCCACTTTGTGTTCTTGTTCTGTGTGCCCTCATTCATTTGCAAGCGGTGATCAGGTTACTGGTAATAGGACACCAAACGCTCTGCCCGAACCTTTCCTCCTCTTCTTTTTGCTGACCCAACAATGGTTGCAGTCTTTAGGGCTTTCCTGTAACCGTGTGGTTGTGCCAAGGTGGTACTTAGTAAAAGTGCATAGTGATAATGATATATTTCTCGATTTTTGATTCATCGTCTCCATCTCATTGATTATGCTGTTCACAATGCTACATGGGATTGTAGTTCTTTGTAGTTAAAGTACACAGTCTTGTACAATTTGTCGTTTTTTCTGATTTTCAAATACTTTTTTGCTTCAAATAAAAAGGTAGTAATGTGATTAACCTTGTTCCTGATTGGTTTGGTTCATGGGTTAAAGGGTTAGTTCACCCAAAAATGAAAATTCTGTCAGTAATTACTCACCCTCATGTTGTTCCAGCCCCGTAAGACTTTCGTTCATCTTCGGAACACAAATTAAGATATTTTTGATTAAATCTGAGAGCTGGATCACTCCTCCATAGGCTTCTTAAGGGATCGAAACTGACCGGCCCAAAAGTTATGAAAGACATCGTTAAAATAGTCCGAGTGACTACAGTGGCTCAATCTTAAGTTTATCAAGCGACGAGAATACTTTTTGTGCGCAAAAAACAAACAAAAATAACGACTTTATTCAACTATTCATTTCCTTCTCTGTACGGCCGTGATATTTCACGTAGTGAAACTATGCAAAGCTTCTAGGTTGTACGTCACGCATCACACACATGACCCGCGTCGGCCAATAGTGAGCCTACGTGTGACGTGTAACCTAGAAGCTTTGCGCTGTTACACTACGTGAAATATCACGGCCCACAGAGAAGGAAATGAATGAAGAATTTTTAAAATCCCTATGGGAAAATTAATGGAAAAAAACGTCTGAAAAAGTGGGCGGGCACTACTGCACTCTGTTAATCCCCCGATAATGACCGCCGTCAATAGCAACGCTGTATAATGACTGCTCATCCTGGTATTTGAGGCTGGCGCGTATTACATGTCTCATATTACACATCATGTACATTATACCTTACATATTATCATGTGATTCCATGTGATTTGTTGCACTCAGTCCAGGGGAACCCAATGGCAACTCCAGTTTATGTGAGAGAGCTGCAGCAGACCTCCCAGCCTCAGGGAGGTGGTGTGACTCCCACATCAGGGCAGGCTGCCACCGTGACAGCAGCTCCCCAACAATTCCTGGCCGAACTTCAGACTACAGGGGCCACACCTTCAGCGGCCCCATCCACCGGCCAGACCACGCCCCCTCCCTCACAAGCACAGAAGAGCCAGGCAATCGTCCAGGCACCACCCGCACAAGCCCCGCCCACTCAGACTCAATATGTCACAGCTGAGATTCAGAGCTCACCTACGCAGTCCAGCAATGCTCAGAATACACCACAGTACATTGTTGTCACAGTTACAGGTAAGAGTAAATCAACTATCTACGATTGAATGACATAATAGATACTGCAAGATAAACACAATATGTGGGAACAGAAGACCTTGATTTTATATGCTTTTTGCAACTGCTTTTTTATCACTTAATTAGAAGAACCACTTTTACTAAATTGTGTCCTCTGTTACATAGGGACTACTGAACATATATTTAGATGTTTATTTTAAAATGCAAAGTATTGAAAATCAAAATAGAGCTCTGTAAACATTTGCATTTTTATAACACTGTAAGTGTGTCCCATTGGGTAATCAAAAGTTCTGCACACACTTGCAGTCTTCATGCCTACTTGAACACTTGGGCCAAATACAGGAAATACGTCATGTAAGTAGACAAGTGGTCAAGTGCAAAGACCGCTAGTGTGGGTACTTGGACAGGCTCGTTGACTGAAGGAGGGACATATCTAGAGAACAGAATAACATACACACTTGATGTTGGAGTCATTTGATTTTGTCCAGTAAACAGCCACTCAGAACATCCTAGCAAGCAAACACGTAGCCAAGCCTTGCACCCTAGTAAGCAGTGGTTCAACTAAAAATATAAATTGGGGGAAGGGGGGTCAGTAAAAAAATAAGAATTAATACAGTGATTACAAACATAGGTAAATACAGTATAACAAAGTTACAAATAAAGTAAGGTCTAACTGTAGTATTCAGGTACAGAAATGTAATAATTACCCTAATTGTAAAATAACACTATAGCGGTCACTGTTCACATTAAAGCTGTGTTTTGTTGTGTGATTGACATTAATGACTCAGACAGCAGCAGGTATTTATACGCTGCTGTCACTTTAAGAGCTAATGCACGGATCCAATATAATGATACACATCTGATTTCTTTCTCTACTGTGTTTACGAGAATTCTTGCAGAGACAGTTTTTTTGACATTATTTTGTGTGTATGTGTTCGTTCAAGCGCAAGGAGATGTGAAATAGGAATCAATTTGGTCTTCGCGCGCTATCAGTATGTAGCCTCTCTGTGTGTGCACGCTTTGGGTGTGTGCGACTGTGTGCATAGATGACAGTGCTCAAATAATGAATTGAGATCTCTTTGCCTCTTTTTGCGCTGCAATGGTTAAAAATAGCTTGAATGTGTAAATTGGCAAGGCAAAACACCTGCAAACGATAAACTTTCAGTCTATGATGGTTAAACTTTGCAATTAATCCATGAATCACATGCGTGCTGAACTGTGGGGTCTGGTCCGTACGGATCATGGATCAACTATGATCCGTTTAACCCTTACTAGTAACCACCAAGCAACATCTGGGAAATCTGTCACGGCAGTGTGTTTTATACAGGCAAGCACCACTCATATTTTCTTCTGAAAATGTAAAAATCCGTATTTTTTTATTATTTTTCTTTAATAATCATCTCTGTCAATGGTTTATTTTACCATGTATATTTTTAGTTTATCCCTGTAGCTCGAACAGAAGCATAGCACTAGCAACTGAAGGTCATGAGTTCAATTCCCAGAAGAGAAAGCATGAACTTAATAAAATGTGTACCCAAGTTGCTTTGCGTAAAAGCGTCTGTCAAATGCATAAATGTAAAATTTTATTTAAAAATTAATATACTTGTTTTTTCTATTAAAAAACCCCCTCCTATCCTAAACAGTTTTCTCTTTTCTTCTTTTCCTGTAGAGGGTTCTCTTCATTCCAGTGACTCTGTGTCAGATTCTAGTCCTCCTGCTGCTGTAGTCCAGACTGGAGTTCCTACGCAGGTGGTGCAGCAGGTTCAGGCCGCACAACAGGTAACACCAACCCTAAACACCAAACCTGTGCACCCAAATACACAGTAAACCCACCTAAACAAGCACAGCTTTGGAATGCACTGCAATGGCTTCAAGTCTTAAATCAAGAAATAATTGAATATATACACTACTGTTCAAAAGGTTAATACTTTAATACTTTTATTCAGCAAGGATGCATTCAATTGATTAAAAGTGACTGCTGAGTGCTGCTTCTTTCAGAAACGTTGCAAAAAAAAAAAAATCTTAAAGGGTTAGTTCACCCAAAAATGAAAATTAAGTCATTAATTACTCACACCCATGCTGTACCAACCCCGTAAGACCTTCGTTCATCTTCGGAACACAAATGAAGATATTTTTGATTAAATCTGAGAGGTGGATCACTGCTACATAGGCTGCCAAAGGGAATGATACTTGACGGCCCAGAAAGTCATTAAAGAAAATGTTTAAATATTTCATGTGCCTACAGTGGCTCCACTATAAGTTTATCAAGCGACGAGAATACTTTTTGTGCGGAAAAAAACAAAAATAACGACTTTATTCGACTATTCCATTGCTTCCTTGTGGGCCTGAGACGAGAGTTCAAGAGATTTCCAGGACGCATGCGCGAGAACTGACATTCTTCTTCTACTACACACTACACAGCGCACGTCTTACAAGCAGAGGAAGACGCGTGCTGTACATAGTAGTAGAAGAAGAATGTCAGTTCTCGCGCATGCGTCCTGGAAATCTCTTGAACTCTCGTCTCAGGCCCACAAGGAAGCAATGGAATAGTCCACAGATGGAGAAAAATTCAGCACAGCTTGTTGTTTGAGTTTGTTTGAGTTTTGTAGAACAGCAGTTCTTCTAAAAAGGCTTGCCCTGCAGGCCTCGAACGAATGAGACATGACGATTGAGGGATTTTGCTGTTTTCTAAACCCTGAACAACACTAGCGTTCATTCGAAGTGACCACAGAGGAAACCACTGCTCTTAAAAAATAAAGCCCATTTAAAATATGTAAAAAACCACTTGGTAGTTTCACAGTACTGCTGGTGTGTCCCAATGATTCGGGTAAATATACATACACAGGGCTTGTAGATAACCTTTTCTGCAGGTTAAAATCTGTACATCCACAGCTAAATATCCAACTAAATGTCCAAGTGTTCTAATGCAGACTTCCTTATAATGATCTACATCACTCAAAGCCATTTGCCATTTCTTGGGTTTACAGTCTTTATCGTTTGCATGTACAATGATGTTACAGTGCATCTTTGGCCCTAAGAACTGATGAGCTGCCTTTTTTTTTTTTTTTTTAAACTATATCAAATTAATATGCTATTTATCATTTTTTTTTTTACCTAAGTCATACATTACTGTTTAAAAGTTTATGATCGGTAGCAGGGCCGTAGCAATGGTTACCCCGAAAGCCTGCTGAAATATTAAGCAGCACAACTGTTTTCAACATTGATAATAATGAGTAATGTTTCTTGAGCATCAAATCAGCACATTACAATGATTTCTGAAGGATCATGTGACACTAAAGACGGGAGTATTACCAAACGAATTTTTTTTTTAACAGTAGTGTTCCTAAACCATATTTAAAGGTTTATTTAGTAATATTGTATTTGTGTACCGCTATATTGCACAACAGTGGTCTTTGACACCTAGCAACGTGGATGAAGCTAAAACATTATAGTAAATTTATGTTTATCAATATCAATATAGAAATACCCTTTTCACAGTTAGTAGTGATTTATTCCCTAGAGAGAAGATTCTAATAACAGGGGTAATGTGAGTAGTATTCAGGTTAACATGTGATCTCAACATCTCTGCCCCAAATAAATCGGCTTTAATTAGGCCACTGATATCTTTATCTCATTTTAAACACAAGTTTAAAACACAGCACTATTCATTATTTTTCAGAAGTAAAGCTTTTTAATGAGAACAAGCATTAGAGCTGTAAACCGTGGCCCAGTTTTGAACAATTAGACTGTGGTTTGTCATTCTTACAGTTGCTTGTTCAGCGAGCTAATGTTTTTCATTTCCCCCTGCAATCGTTTAACAGAGGTCAGTAGTTCAAGCCACATCTCAGACAACGAAAACCGAACCGAGCCCCCAGCTGAATGTCGCCAGCCTACAATCCGTGCACCTGACACAGGAGGTAAGCTGTCTCTCTTATATAAATGTGTTATTATGTCAGTAAAGACAGGCTTTGCTGTCAAATTGATGCCACTAGCTATGTTTCCATCCAAAGTGAATTTAACTTCAAATTTGAATTTAAAGCGCAAAATTTAAAACTTTTGCGAATAAAGCACCGTTTCCATCTCATGTGTTCAAGAGAACCAAATCATCACTTCCTGGGAAATTGGCCTGTAATATGGAAGCTACTGCAATGTGGCTGTTTGTTGTGTCTCAGAGCATGCAGACAAAACTACTGTAAAAATACTGTCATTTTATCTTGTGTTCGGATGCCTGGTGTTTGGGAACGCAATCACGTGAGACGCTTCTGAAAGGTCATCATACCCAACCGTTTGGCTCAGGAATTTCAGAACGATCAAACCAACATTTGAGATGCTGTGCAATGAAATTGGTCTGCTGGTTAAGTCCGGTTATCCAATCACACACAAAAAAAAAAAAAAGTAACTTTTTCACAATTTATTCGGTAAATGTCTTTCCTTTGTAGTTTATGCGCATCTTCTTATCGGATAAAAAAAAATATCCACCTCAGTTGAGAGCATACGCTTTTTTTAATGTGCATTTTCATCCAGCTTTTTTATGCAGTATTCCAAAATTGACAAAAATACGTGTATGGAAACATGGCTTATGATGTCAAGACAAGTTCAACCCTTGTCCAATATAAAATACATTCAATGTGCATTTCATCTAATGTTCATAATCATGCCATCTTACATTAAAGGAATAGTTTATCTAAAAAAAGTTTCTTAACCTGATTCCTTTAATGGAAAATTCTCTAAGCAAGCAGTTGTCTAACCCTCTGATGGTTGCTTTCAGAGCCCTTTTCTCAGACAGAGAGGAAGTGATGCACAGAGAGAGAGTGAATTGAAGAGAAAGAGACAGATAGAAGACTGGTTGGAGCGTAGGCCAGCAGTAGTACTACTAGAGAAACTCACTAACCCGTTTGGAGACAGTTTATCTTACGCATCTGTTAATGGAGGTTTGCTGGATTACTCATCTTGTTTCCCCCCATCTCTACCTGTCGCTTATTCGCCCGTCACCTTCTCTCTACCTGTCATGTCGGTGGGCTGGGAGACAGACGGGGTCTCCTACACCTCTGCTGCTGTGCCAGATGTGCAGTCTTTCCTCTATGAGATGCCCTCAGCCCATAGTGTAGGTGACTTTAGTTAAAACAGTGTGTAGGTGAAGCTGTGGTCAATCAGCGAGAGATTGTGTTAGATCAGTTAGCGCAGTGATTTCCAACCAGGGGTCCATGTACTTCACAGGATACATTGGGTATTTTGCTATATAGAACATAACTTAAATTATTTTAATTAATTTAAACCCAAAAAATCATATTTAAAATATACAATATTGTTCAAAACTTTGGGGTCTGTAATTAAAAAAATATATATATATATTTTTTTTTTAAATGTTTTTGAAAGTATCCTTTCTCACCAAGGCTGCATTTGTTTTCTAACAAATACAGTAAAAATAGCAATATTGTGAAATATTATTACAATTTGAAATTAGTTCTCTTTTTAAATATAATTAAAAATGTAACTTATTCCTTTCAGTATTATCACTCCAGTCTTCAGTGTCACCGTTTATTTGTAATAGAAATATTTTGTAACATTATCCATGTCTTTACTGTCACTTTTGATCAATTTAATTAGTATTCTTTTTAATGATAATTTTTTTTATAAAAATGTTACTGACCCCAAATGTTTGAAGTGTAGTGTAGATATACAAAATATATAAGTATATTTAAATAAATAAAAAATGGTCTATTTTTAACACATTCAAAAGAAATCTTTTAGTTTGCTGTTGAGGATGTGATGTTTTTTGAGGGGTACATAAGACTAAAAGGTTGGGAAACACTGAATTAGTGCACTGAATGTGGCTGCAGACATTTTTGTTTACATATATATAAACAAGTTTATTTATGTAGAACTGTGATGGTGTCAATTGTGCCTTCTCAATTTGTGTATTGTTGTATGTGCGCCACAGGTACAGCAGCAGCTCCAACAGGTGCCAGTCCAGCATGTGTATACTAACCAGGTGCAGTATGTGGAAGGAGGAGATGCTAGCTACAGCACCAGCACCATGTGAGTATTCATGGAAACCATCGCTCGGCCCCAGCATTGTGCATCTGTGCTGAATCAGATACAGGGCTTTTCACACTAAACATGCTTCCTCAGTTAACTCTTCGCTAAAGTCACTGTTGTTGGATTTTGGCCGTTTTATTCAAAAGTGGAGAAAGATGAATGTGAGCTTGCAGGGACAGGGCTTAAAGAAATACAGTTCACCCAAAAATGAAAATTATTTTATTACAATTTTTTTTATTAAAATGATTACAAAAACATAGTTTCTCACCCTCAAGTTGTTCCAAACCTGTATGAATTTCTTTCTTCTGCTGAATACAAAAGATATTTTGAAGAATGTCGGTAACCAAACAGTTGATGGGCACAATTGACTTCCATAGTATTTTTTTCTTCTTCATACTATGGAATTCAAAGACAGAATTTTCATGCATTTAGAAAATAGATAGGGTGAATTTTTATTTCATTCCAATTTTTACGTTTTTTTGGTACAATTCTGTTAAAGGTTGTCAATGAAATATATATATATTTAAATAAATTAATATTTTTATTCAGCAAGGATGCATTTATAATGTTACAAAATATTTCTATTCATCAAAAATGGAGCATCAAATCATCATATTAGAATGATTTCTGAAGGATCATGTGACTGAAGACTGAAGTAATGATACTGAAAATGCAGCTTTGCCATCACAGGAATAAACTGCATTTTGGAATATATTAAAATAACATATATAATAAAATTATATATGAAATAAAATAAATAAATAACAAATAATTCAGGATGTTACTCTTTTTACTGTATTTTGATCAAATAAGAAAATAAGAAAGCAATTTTTTTCCCAAAACATTACTGACCCCAGGATATATTTTTTGTTTTGTTTTTGAAGTATATTTCAGAAGACTTGAGACAATATTAAATATTATTAAGTCATTATTATTAATAAAAAAAATATTAAGGTATTAAAATAGTAGTTATTTACTTATCATGTGCTGCACTTACCCAATCAATGTTTTAAATAATTTAAATATGCTTATTTTAAGACAGGGTTTAACAATGTACAGTGTGAAATCTCGAAACCCAAGTGCCCACTATTAATTACTAACCCCGGGTAACATAAAACATAAAACAAACATAAAACAAGACCATTTTGAATTAAAAAAGTGAAGTGACGTGACGCGTTGCCAAGTATGGTTTCCCATACTCGGAATTTGTGCTCAGCATTTCACCCATCCAAGTGCACACACACAGCAGTGAGTATTGAACAGATACACACCGTGAACACACACCCGGAGCAGTGGGCAGCCATTTTTGCTGTGGCGCCCGGGGAGCGATTGGTGGTTAGGTGCCTTGCTCAAGGGCACCTCAATTTTGTGTGTTTATTTACTTCCCCAACCTACATTTCCTGTTGATACTGAAACTCGAACCCGCGACCTTGGGGTTACAACTCCATTAGGCCGCAACTGCCCCTAATTATGCTCACAAAGTCTGAAAACCCCAAGTTATGTTTGATTAAAATTCTGAATCCTGACCCTTATCATTTTCTCACAGTCGTTCCAGCAGTTTCCCCTACACAGAGACCCCTCTGTATACCCAGACCACTGCTGGACAGTACTACGAGAGCACCCCTGCCTCCGGTTCTGAGGCCACGTCCCCCGGCACCCCTCTCACCGTCTCCGTGACAACTGGATCCCCTGGGGTGTCCATGTTTGTGGCGGGGACAGGGCAGATCGTGGCCAATCCCACGACGGGGGCTGTAGGTGGAGTCACAGCTGTAGTGGCAGCCACGGGGACATCAGCGAACGGTTCTGGAGATTCCGGGGGCGAGGCTAACGGTGGCAGCGGGAGCTACGTGATTCAGGGCGGCTATATGCTGGCCGGCAGCGGCACCAGCAGCAGCGGAAACGGTCACGGTTACCCGCACCCCACCCGTGCCTCTCCGTCCACCGTGAGTATAAACGAAGGCGAGGACAATAGCGTGCCGTCGGCAGACAAAAAGGTATGACGACAGCAGGGGCGGGGCTTAATCGTCACTCATCGCCACTCACAGATTCCCTCCTCTTCCTGCCACCCAAACGAATTTAAACGCATGGCGATCTCATTGCTCAGTTCCACGTGTCAGAGAGCACAGTGATACTTCCAAATCCAAATTCAGTTTTATTTAAATAAAGCCATCAGACTGACTTTTGTCAGCATGCTATTTCTATGACGACACATGTCCAGTTGACATGTAGCTCATCATTGATGCTTGCTAAGGCTTTCACTGTGCTGTCGTATTCATCGCAGAAAACATACAATTTCAGTCATGACCATATTCATATTATCCATGAGAGACAGAGGGCCTTGTGTGGTCCTGTTCAACATGTTCATATATACAGCAGGCTTCCAAATTTGCTGCACACTCTATTACAAAATTCTTTCAGTTACTGATTGAGGCATTCCATTGATTTAACGTTTCACTGCATACTCGTCTTGTATGCCACGGCACGCAGAAACAGTTGTCGAGAGGCATACAGTGCGGGGAAAAAGTGTTTGCTCTGTGTGTGATTGTCTGTATTTTTGCATATTTGTATCGTGAATGTCATCAGATTTACTAATGTATTAAGCAGCGCAACTGTTTTCATAGTTGATAATAATAAGAAATGTTTCTTCAGCAGCAAATCAGCATATTAGAATGATTTCTCAAGGATCATGTGACACTGAAGACTGGAGGAATGATGCTAAAAAAATTCAGCTTTAACATCACAGGAATAAATTACATCTTAAAATATATTCATATAGACAACAGTTATTTTAAATTGCAATCATAATTCACAGTATTACTGTTTTTACTGTATTTGTGATAAAAAAAAATGCAGCCTTGATGAGCATAAGAGACTTCTTTCAAAAACATTGTAATATCTGTCCAACCCCAAAACACTTAAAGTCCCCCTGTAATCATCAATTGTAACCCTTAAAACTCACCTTTAAAGTTTTTTTCAGTGAAAAAAATTTTCTTCATGCCTTAAAATATCTTGAATGTAACTCTACACCCTTGCTTCATTTAATCTACGCGGACACATGAATATGCTAATTAGCCCCGCCTCCACTCAATCACACCAGCTCAGAGATCCAATTGGTCAACTTTACTGTAGTAAACACTGCACAATGGTATCGCTCGATCTTTACAACGTCAAACACATACAAATAATTGATATGATTACCGGTAGCCTTTTTTTTACTACGTTAACAAACAGCTAATAGTGTTTTGCTAATGTTACACAAATGATGTTCCCGTTCACCATCTCAGAGTCAGACAGCTGCTTTCTAAAAATCAGTATCCTTAGAAACGCTTTGAACAACATAGTAGCTCAGTGGAGAAAGGCATATAGTTCATCATATCATCGTAATGTCCGTCACATACATAATTCATCCGCTATATTGCTAAATGTACCCGATTTTTCCAAACCAAAACAGTTCTGCTTTTGATTCATAGTTCAGCATACTTCTTCAAACTTGAATTATTGCATACTGAAACCTTGAACACCAGATAAATGAAAGACACACCAAAACTTTGTTTTCAAAAAATGTGGACAAACTCAGAAATTCAGACAAAGACATTCACAGCACTGTATGTTTTCATGAAGCTGTCAGAATAAGAATATTTGTATAGATATGGCTAAATAATGCCATTTGTTGTTTATTTAAAGTCAACATGAAATTAAAATCCACTGCAAACTCACATTCCGATCCAGAACAACTGCTTCCTATCATCCAATCAATTCATGAGAAATAAAATCAAGTTCTGTCCTACGTTGTTTTCTGTCCTATTTTGTTTTGCTTTAAAGTGAACTAAAATGGGTTAGTGAATGCTGTTTTTTGTTGACTTTAAATGATATAACATTAACTATGCATGAATGCATAATTACAGTACATGTGCACGAGCGGTGTCTGCATGCAAAAGCGTACGCACATGTTTGCATTTAGGCGTTTGCGTGTATCTTAGGTCATCCTTTAGCCTGGGCTCTCTGTCTGAGTGTGTGTATGGCTGTGTGTGTGTCTTATCCCGGCAGCTGTCCTCTGGCCCTCAGGTGCAGTGGTTGTTGGATAATTATGAGACAGCAGAAGGGGTGAGTTTGCCCCGGTCCACTCTCTACTGCCACTACCTGCTGCACTGTCAGGAGCAAAAGCTGGAACCTGTCAATGCAGCGTCCTTTGGAAAACTCATCCGCTCGGTGTTCATGGGGTTGAGGACCAGACGTCTCGGCACACGGTGAGAGAAAGGTCACGTGACCTCTGTCTGTTAGCGCCCTGTTTATTTTAGTGAATCAATTTGTTCAGATTCAAGTGAAACGTAGTTGTTTATCACTAAGTTTTTGTTTGTTTCATTGTCAATATATTCAAATCAGAATCAGTCGCTCACAAACATCAACTCACAGTAAATTAATGTGGCATACACTACCATTTTCTTGAAAGAAATTGACACTTTTATTCAGCAAGGACACATTAAATCAAAAGTAACAGTAAAGACATTTATAATGTTACAAAAAAATTATATTGGAAATAAATGCTGATCTTTTGAACTTTCTATTCATCAAAGACGTATTACTTTTCCCACAAAGATATTAAGCAGCAAAACTGTTTTCAACATTAATAATAAGAAATGATTATTGAGCACCAAATCAGCATATTACAATGATTTCTGAAGGATCATGTGACACTGAAGACTGGAGTAATGATGCTGAAAATTCAGCTTTAACATCACAGGAATAAATGACATTTTAAAGTATATTAAAATAGAGAACATTTATTTTAAATTGTAATAATATTTCACAATATTACTGTTTATACTGTTTTTTTTTTTTTTTATCAAATAAATACTTCTTTCAAAAACATAAAAAAAATCTACCCGACCCCAAACTTTTGAACAATTGTGTATATATTATATATTCATAGTTTTTAATGTATTAATTAAACGGTAGTGTATGTTTTTGTGAGTCATGCATATATACACGTATGTGGTTTGAAGCCTCCATGATCCTATGGTTCAGGTCATGCAGGTGCACTGAAGCTTTGGTGTGTTTGTTCCAGAGGGAATTCCAAATATCACTACTATGGACTGCGGATCAAAGCGAACTCGTCTCTGCTCCGACTGATGGAGGACCAGCAGCACCTGGCCATGAGGCAGCAGCCCTTCTCTCAGAAACAGAGGTGGACACACATGCTATCTGTCATTTCTTGCTCTCCGTCTCTCTGGTTCCTGTGTTTCTCAGTACGTCTGATTCTGTATCCCTGCAGGTTGAAGCCGGTACAGAAGGTGGAGGGAATCACTAACGGGATGTCTTCAGGATCTGGACAGCAACAGCAGCAGCAGCAGAGCTCGGGTCTGTCGGACATCAGCACCCAGGTCCAGCAGTACCAGCAGTTTCTAGGTGAGCCATGACATCAATGTGAGCCTTAACAGGCAGAAGCGTAACCCAGAGTGCATGCTCTTAAGGAAACACTAATGTGGAAGTTCCTAGTTGTGAATGTTCAAAAAAAGCATAATTTGACGCTGGACTTTAAACTAGGAAATTTGAAAAACTGAGATGTAGTTGTATGACATCACATGAAAATGGTGGCAATAACAAGTCATTATATGGTTGCTGTAATCCTTGATATTTAGATGCGTCCAGAGCTCTCCCCGAATTCCCTGATGTTGACCTGCAGGGTAAAGCTTTACCAGAGGGCATTGAGCTGGAACATCTCAAGAGCTTTCAGCTGCTCTACAGAGAACACTGCGAAGTGAGTCTTGTCTCTTCTTCTCTGTTTGAATCCATTGATTTTCTGTCAGCATTGCAATGCATATCTGTTTATGAGCTAAATATCTTTTCAAGCTGTTTTTATCTGATGTGGTGTGTTTCTTTAGGCCATTCTTGATGTAATGGTCAACCTTCAGTTCCCTTTGGTGGAGACTCTTTGGAAAACATTTTGGAGGTTCAGTGAAAGTCAGGCAGGAGACTCAGCAACACTAGCTGTGTAAGTTTACATCTCAGTACAACAAACTCCTTTAGACCAACACTACATGTCAAGGTTTTCACTGTTACATGCGTTCAGGACAGGAGGAATTTATTAAGGTGTTTATTGGATGGTTGAGGCCTTACTCCGTGTCTACACCGGACGCGACAGCTTGAGGCGGTAAACACAGGATGCTTAAAACGACCGGTGCAAATCCCTTTGTTCTTCATGTCAGAAGTAGCGTGAACGCTTGAAGTACTTCAAAAATAGAACGGGGCATCAGTTTACTGTCAGGAATTTGTTGTGTAGACCGTCTAGTGTAGACTGCATCACTGATTTTAAGGCCCTGTGTCCACCAAAGCATTTTTTCACCCGGCTGGCGTATTTTTCCGATTGATTTCAATGGGAGCGCCGTGTTTTTTAAACGCCAGGATCGTAATGAGGTGCTGAGTATGGAAGCTTGTTTCTGCCATAGAATAAAAAATAAAAAAGTCGCATATAATGTGATATAAAGCCGCAATTGCGTGTTATAAAGTCAGAATTGTGAGATATAAACTAGCAATTGCAAGAAAAAATTGCATCAATTGCATGTTTATATCTCGCAATTCTGACTATAACACGCAATTGTGAGATATAAAGTCAGAATTGTGAGATATAAAGTCAGAATTGTGAGATATAAACGGGCAATTCTGAGGAAAAAAGTCAGTCTTTTTTTCCTTAGAATTGGACTTTATAACCCGCGGAGCTTGTTGCCGCCACAGAATAAAACAAAGAATTAAAGTCAGATTTGCAAGAACTCTCGCAATTGTGAGATAAAAAGTCACAATTATATTTTAGGAACCACAATGGAAATGAGTCTTTGGGCTTTATTGTGTCATCCGTGACTATTTATGTATTTTTAATGTATGACACAGATTACTGTTTCATATTTTTTTATATTTATTTAAGTGATCAAATCAATCAATCAATCAACAAGCTTCCATAGCTGAGTGTCTTTTTCATGCTGAAACGCTGAACACTGTGTTTGTTTACGGGTCGCAGAGAGTTGAAAAATGTTCAACTTTGGGTAAAAAGCAGCGCTCATCACTGTCACTTTTTACCCAGGAGGGGTTGGACAATACCACACCAACCAACCATCACATTCTGCTTGTACAACGTCAACAGATGACAAAAAGCATAATAACGGAACAAAATAATTTAAAACAAGAGCCAGAGCAAATGTACAATGTATCAACATTTCTATATAGAAACAACACTGAAACAAACTATCTGTAAAATTAGATACTATTAATAACACTTAATAGTAAACACTATTAAGTGTTTCTTATTATTTCTTATTATTAAGTATTAATACTTAAAATAATAGTAAACACGTGCGGATATTCTGTATCATAGCAAGCAAAGCGTCTCAGCTGAAAAAAAACCCCCCACTGCGCTGCCAAAACGCTCTTAAGCGCCCACAACTAGGCATTTTCAGCAGAGCGCCTAGCGTTTTCAACTGGCTAAAAACGCTTTGATGGACAGGACACAGGGGCTAATGGGTTCTATTTTCTGTTGTCGTGTTGCGTTGCGCCGCTTAAATATGGGAAAGTAGGCTTCATAGAGTTAATGAATAAATAGACACTAAACATTATCCGTTTCTCTTTGGATGTTTTATTAGACATGATGAGTCGGAGAAGAGGCTGCCCAAGTCATGTTTGGTGCAGCTCTGTAAATATGATCCAGTGCTTCGCTGGAGTCGTGACTGCGACAACACACTGTACCAGGGCCTGGTGGAGATGCTCATCCCAGATGTTCTGAGACCTATTCCCAGTGAGTTGACCAATGTATTCTCACTACAGATTTGCATTTTAATATGCAGCAGTATGTGCAAGAGCCGGTGGTGATCTATCAAGTGAGTCACATTTTGCCAACAGGGGCCTCTTTTCACTCACATTCACCTTCATATTGCCAACTTGTGGGTCAGCATCAGGGCTGTTGGGTACCAATTATGTGCGTCCACTGCCAGACAACATCATATATTTTGCTGAAATGAATTCTAAATTCTTTCTCCAGGTGCCTTAACACAAGCCATCCGAAACTTTGCCAAGAGTCTTGAGAGCTGGTTGACTAACGCCATGATGAACATTCCTGAAGAGATGGTTCGTGTCAAGGTCAGTGAAATAAAAAAAGAGAAAATCTAAAGACCCTAAATGTTTGAACGGTACTGTGCATCTTCTTGAAAGTATGTGAAAACAAACATAGATCCTTGAATTGAAGTGTTTGAATTAAACTTGAACTAAATTTTGTTAGAGTAGCATGGTGATATCACAAAAAATAGCCTTTATCCACTGCCAAAGCCAGAATGAAACAGAGCTACTGATTGAAGGGAAAGCGGGAAAAACTTGAAAAGCTTTTGGATCGTGATCACGTGCAGCAGCCCGGCATGATGTTCTCAGTATGCCTGAGAAGCATGGAGCTATTTAACTACCTCAGTGACTACGTTTACATGCAGCCAATAACCCGTTCAAAACCGGGATATTAGCAATAACCCGGTCACGAACGGCCATGTAAACACCGGCAAAAACCCGAATATGCTCATATCCCGGATTTTAAAAACCGGGATATTATACCTGGGGTACCCCTTTTCTAACCCGAATTTTTGGTCATGTAAACGCGTATCGGCATATCCCCATAGTGATTTGTGTTCTGCGCATGTTCTATTCGCAAGGAATCTTGGTCTTTTGAGTAGAGAAACTTCTCGGCGCATACAAAACTCTGCGTGCAGTATACCGGAAGTAAACATGGCGAGACCAGAGCCCGTCTACATTCTCTGGCGAGACGCAGCACTTTTGGAGCGAGGTCAGTAACGTTACCAGCATCAAAGCGCAAACAAAGGCGATCGCTATCTGCGTGCTGCTGTTGTTGTTGTCTTTGGATACAGGAAGAAGAATCGGAAATGACGCATTTTACGTCTTAAGGTTGTCCGTACGTCTAGACGCTAACCGCGCGTCGCCGTTTACATCGGGATATTGCAATTCCATGTATACAGGAGAAACTCTCTGCTCACGCATGTAAACGGGTTATTCCTAATGTTTCAGAAACCCGAATAGTGACCTTAACCCGACCATAACCCGAAAATTGGCTGCATGTAAACGTAGTCAGTGTCAGGGAAATTCAAATTCATCGATGCTTGGCTCAGTATCAAGCTACATAAAGATTGGTTAATCAAAGTTACTACAAATAACACCTAATAAAATAGTGTTTATAGACGCAGCGCTGCTTTGTTTACAGATATAACTGAAAAAAAATATATATATTTCTGCTGTTCCATAAGCGCGCCATGTACTGTCAGAGATTGAATTTGCATTTTCATTCAGCCTGTCTGCATTGGTCAACCACTACAGTAGTACAGTGGTACAGTACAATACCATAAAACATCTGTTTTTATGAATGACTAATAATAGTTAATGCGTTTGGTCTAACAGGAACCTAAACAGTGTGCTTGTGACACATAGTAGTCACGCATGCCATTTTAAACTAGGGGGGTTTACTAAAATTGAAAGTGTTTAAAGACTTAAAAACTTTCCCTAATGAATTTCATTTGGGGAAGTATGTAAGTATCACCTCATCTGCATTAAGAAAGTTCTCTTCACTGTTTTAATTTTAAATGATCTTTAAGAGCAAAACAAAATCCCTAGTAAATACATACAACAGAGCTGTTTTAGCTATTTAAATTATACATACCCAACAAAGAAATTAAACATTAGATAATAAAACTGTTACTTATTGCATATCTCCTCTGTGAATTGGCCTTTGTTTTTAGGTGACGTCTGCAAGCGCTTTCGCTCAGACTCTGCGCAGATACACCTCTCTAAATCACCTGGCCCAGGCAGCTCGTGCCGTCCTGCAAAACACAGCACAGATCAACCAGATGCTCAGTGACCTCAACAGAGTGGACTTTGCCAATGTGCAGGTGTGTGTGACTAAACAAACCCCCTCACATCCCAGTTAGATTTGAAACTGGACACTGTATTTATGAGAACTGAACTAGAGCTTTCATCTGTCACCATCTGAGATGAACTCACTTTTTGTATGCATGGTGTTTGTGGTCTGTCTATCTATCAGGGAAACGGAAACTCAAGTGAGTGTTTAGCATAACATACAGTTCGTTTCCTTGAAAGTGATTTTAAATAGTGGTTTTGCTGAGTATGTCAGCCGTCATGTAGCTGATGATTTTAACGACTTGCAGTACACATATTAATAAGGTGACCGCTGGGTAAGGTGTCTTACTCAAGAGAACAATGGTGATCATTTGTGGAATGAAAAACATTTTTGGTAAGATTTTGGTCTTAGTTTTAACTGCTAGGCCATACCAAAAAGGGAAATGCTGACTAATTTAGAGAGGAATATGTTGGTGACATGGGCAAGGACCAATCACATTTTCTTCAGAATGTAAATATATAGTTTATTTTGCTGTTTGTGATAGATAGTTAGATAGACAGACAGATAGATAGATAGATAGATAGATAGATAGATAGATAGATAGATAGATAAAAAAAATATATAGAGATAGATAGATAGATAGAAAAAGAAATATATATATATATATATATAGAAACAGATACAAAGGTAAATAGATAGATAGATAGATAGATGGATAGATAGAAAAAAAAATATATAGAAAGAGATAGATAGACAGACAAATGGTTCTTAATAGCAATGTAAAAAAAAAAAAAAAAAAACAGCTTAATTTGCTGCTTAATATTTTTGTGGAAACTGATACATCTCCCCCTGGATTCTTTAATGAATAAGAAGCTAAAAAAAACCAGCATTTATTTGTAAAAATTTTTTGTTGTTGTAACTTTATAAATGTCTTTACTGTCACTAATCAATTTAATGTGCCCTTGCTGAATATATATATTTTTTAATTATTTTATTGTTATACTTCATGGTTTCCTCAAAAATAATAATAAATGCTTCTTGAGCAGGGAATCGGCATATCAGAATGAATTCTGAAGGATCATTAAAGGAGAACTCCGGTCAATTTTAACATTGAGCTAATTTTTTTGTACATTTGGAGTGCTGTCAGTACAGACAAAAACGACAAAAATCGGTGTTGCCTACACCGTGTTATCCTCTTTTTAAAATTCGCACCCTGTTGACTTCAATGGGGCAAGTTCTAAACCTGCCTTTAGCCTCTTAACAACCTTAATGTGCCATTACAAGTGCACAGCCATGTGAGTGGTGTTATTAAGAGTGACCACGGTCAATCTGACTGCAGTAAATGTGAAAGATATGAATAAAAATGATGTTTATTCAGCCAGCTCACATACCTGTATTTACTTCCTGTTTTCATTCGAAGTCCACAGTAGTCGATTGTCGAGTTCGCGCGCGCGATCATTAGTTATATTAGTTACCAATGATCGCGCGCGCAAACTCGACAATCCACTACTGTGGACTTCGAACGAAAACAGGAAGTAAATACAGGTATGTGAGCTGGCTGAATAAACATCATTTTTATTCATATCTTTCACATTTACTGCAGTCAGATTGACCGTGGTCACTCTTAATAACACCACTCACATGGCTGTTCACTTGTAATGACACATTAAGGTTGTTAAGAGGCTAAAAGCAGGTTTAGAACTTGCCCCATTGAAGTCATCAGGGTGCGAATTTTAAAAAGAGGATAACACGGTGTAGGCAACACCGATTTTTGTCGTTTTTGTCTGTACTGACAGCACTCCAAATGTACAAAAAAATGAGCTCAATGTTAAAATTGAACGGAGTTCTCCTTTAAGAGATATTTCATTTAGTCTGGGTTTTTGAATCCCCATGTGCTTTCTCCTGTAGGAACAGGCCTCTTGGGTGTGCCGGTGTGAGGACCGGGTGGTGCAGCGGCTGGAGCAGGACTTTAAACTGACCCTTCAGCAGCAGAACTCTCTGGAGCAGTGGGCAGCCTGGCTGGATGGTGTGGTCTCGCAGGTCTTAAAGCCGTACCAGTCCAGCTCTGCCTTTCCAAAAGCAGCTAAACTCTTCCTGCTGAAGTGGAGTTTTTACAGGTGAGCTGACATTAGATTTGTTCTCTGGGGTGGACAAGAACATGAAGTGACACATCAATTCTGTTACAAAACCTACTGAGAACTGTTTTCTGTTTGAATATACTTTAAAATGAAATGGATTCCTGTGATGGCAAGGCTACATTTTTTCCTCCATGTGTAAAATGAAAATTACCAAAGATTTTGAAATTTTGAGTGTGAATCACAACTGAATTCTTAAAGCTGAATTTCCAGCATCATTACTCCAGTCTTCAGTGTCACATGATCCTTCAGAAATCATTCTAATATTATGATTCGCTTTCTTATTATTATCACTGTTGTGGAAACTGTGATACATTTATTTCAGGATTCTTTGATGAATCGAAAGCTCAAAACAACAGCATTTGTTGCAGTCTGTGCACAATATAATAATTTGTTCCCTCGTTTTACTAAACCGTGGATACATTGTAATTCATTCCCTTGTTTTGGTTAAATCAAATCGAGGGAAAGAAATTAGACCAGTGTGGCTATGAACAAATGGGAACAAATTCTTATTTTGTGGCCAGGATATGTATATTTTTGTCTGCATGTCATGTGCAGGGCTCCATAAGTATATAATGATATAACTAACTAAAATTAAAGCACAAAAATAAAAAATACATACAATTTATAATAAAACACTTAATTTTAACTCATTTATTTTAATATAAAGTTATTTTTAAAATGAGTTATACATTTATAATTAAAAAGAAAAAATACAATAAATATATGTATATTATATCATTTTTAATATATATATATATATATATATATATATATATAATCAAAAAAAGTATTGAGAAAGATTGTCTATTTTTTCTTTATCACTATTTCTTAAGCAAAATTTTGTAAATATTTTTTTAATAAAATATATCTATATATAATTTCCTCCAACTCTGTTGGTCTTCGTGAAAAAGTTCTTGAAAATATTCTCAGAGTTTGTTGCAATTCATTGTGGGACTACTGTATCCATGACAGATGTATGCAACGCTCTCCCTTAGATTATTTTTAAAAACAATAAATCCTTAAAGACAACACAATTTTGCTGTTTGGAGCAGTTTTCACATTGCGTGCCAGGTTTGCACTGATTGTTCGAGTAACTAACTGTAATTTCAAGTATGTTTCCCTCTTACTCATCTTATGTCTTCCCCACCCAACAACTTTCTCACACTTCCTGTATCCTTTCTTTGTTCTCCCTTTAGCTCGATGGTGATCAGAGACCTGACTCTCCGTAGTGCTGCAAGCTTCGGCTCATTTCACCTAATCCGTCTGCTCTATGATGAGTACATGTACTATCTGATCGAGCACAGAGTTGCCCAGGCCAAGGGTGAAACTCCCATTGCGGTCATGGGAGAGGTACAAACACATACGCACACACTCAGAAACATCAATCGTTAATCTCAGACACACTTCTCATTTCGATGACTAATACAAAACAAAATTGCGTCATGCTACTCATAACAGGATATAAGACAGGGAACTGTGAATGACTGATTCTGAATTGAAAAGAGTGTTTTAAATGTCCTGATTCTCTCTTTTGTTCTTTAAGTTTGCAAGTCTTGGCCGAAGTCTGAACCCACTCGATCCTGATAAAGGTTAGTAGTTTTACGCACAAAAACCAAACACTTAATACTCTTCTAAATAACAAACAAGCACACGGATAGATTTGCTATGCCAAAACTTGAAGAAAACAAGAGATTCAAACAATAAGACTTATGGTGATGAATGATACACGGGGCAACTTTTTGAGCAATGTTGCCGTCAACGGGCAACCAGGTGAGACACAGGGACCACAACCGATCTAAATTATTCAGATAGAAATTTGTTGTCCATTCTCATTGGGAAAGTGCCCAGGCAACATCGCTCGGCAGCATGATTGCCCAGCAACATTGCTCATTGCCCAAAAGTTGCCACGTGTATCATCAACTTAACTGTGTTGAGCTATTTAACAATGATCAGTTTTCTGTCAATAAAAGTATCCAAACAGTTGCTCACCTGTCTAATAAAACACACAATATGTTAAAGCGTCTTTCGTGTTTCCGGGGGTAACGCGAATATGGCGTCATTGACAGGCGACGCAGTGACACTGGTAAAAATAGCAGATTTCATTGGATTTAAACTGTTGGAAATATTTGGGATAATTTAAGTACACAAGTGAAAAAAATATATAACATTGTTATTGTGGTTTTTGGATATTTTAATAAAAAAAATCGTACACATTGTGCCTTTTTAAATGTATTTATATTAATTATGATTTACAGTGATTTATAATTAATGTAATTTAAATGTTAAAATGTCAGATGTATTATTGATTTTTGAAAATGTTATATTAAATATTAAAATACTACAAATGTATGTGTATTTAAAATGAATTCATTATTATTTAATGTAATGAAAATTAATTGATAATAAATCAGATATTTTTGAAGTATTTTACGCATTTTGAAAATATATATAAAAGAAAAATTCACAGAATTTGTAATAATAAATATGTATTGATATTTATAATAATAGGCAATAATAAGAAGCAATTCTTATTTTCAGTAATTTATAATAAAGTTTTATTGTACTTTTAAAATGATTTAAAATTTTTAGTACTGAATAAAATACATGCATTTTTATAATTGACATTCTCTGTATGTCTGTGTGTCTCAGAAGAGGAAGAGGAGGAGGAAGAAGACAGTGAGGATGAGTGTCAGGAGTTGTCTCTGCAGTCTGATATGGGCGCTATCGGTGACGAATCTCTGGAACCGCCCGCCAAGCTGGCTCGAACCGATCAGAGGGTGCTGTTCACCACAGGAAGCATGGATAACTGAGAACTTAAACACACACACACACACATGATACAAGCACACACTCCACATGATAATCACCCCTCATTTGTGCACTTAAACCAACACATGCATCTAAAAAACATAAATGCTGCAGCTTACATATTTACACAACATTTCAGATGTTCGTATGTACATTTCCATGCCTGTCGATGTCTCAAATGCACATATACACAAGAAACATTCACTGAAACACAGAGACACACACGCTCATAACATGAACGCGATAATCGATAAACGTATCATATCGAGATCTTAGACTGGGTGTATCGCTCACTAAGAATAGCCCTCGAATCTAAACCTGATTCTGTGTCTATAGCTGTTAAGACGCAAGAACACAAATGAAAACTGCTGCAACTGGATCCTAAGAGTCGTTCGTGACGGACTGAACTCTGATTGGCTACTGAAACCTGAACGAAACCGTCAGAATACCTATAAGGGTTGTTTAGGGAGAAAAGAAAAGATGGACTGTAAGTGTGCGTGTTGTGTGTTGATGTATACTTTCTGCCTATCCGTGTGTTGTTTGTGTGATGGTGAGTGACCCGGGACCTTATCGTTTTATTGGCTAATGGCTAGCGCGAATGCGTGTGTTTTTGTGCATGTGCGAATGACCGTTCGTGGATTTCAAAATGTGTTGATAGTTGTTTTGGTCAGTGGTACCATTTTTTTTTTAGTTCTTGATGCCTTCAGTGACTGCCATGTCATTAAATGTTTAAAGAATATTATAGCCCAGCTCTTTAAAAACTCGATTTCCCATGAGTCTACTAGGTGTAAGTGATTCAGCTGGGTTCTGTCAAAAAAAAAAAAAAAAAAAAAAAAAAAAAAAAAAAGATTCTAGGGCTAGTATACATACCTCTGCAAATGACAGCAGTTTGCCAGAAACGAGAGGAAGTTTTTTTTCCCAGTATGTCTTTCCTCTCTTCTTTTTTTCCCCCCTTGTTTATTTATTTATTTAAAAATTTTGGGCCTTTTTTGTTGCACTTTTTCATCTTGAGCTTGGTACAAGACATTAGATGTTTCTGTCCTTTTTCTTTGTTTAATATGGTCACATGGTGACAATCTTGATGTGTACAGCATTGTCTAACACTGTTTAGTGCATATTTGATGGTTTGCTGTGAATTTGAGATTTGGGTCGAGATATTTTACTAGAACCCTTCAAACAAACTTGACACCACTGCCCATATAGCTAGGACATGTAAAAGTAGAGAGCGAAAAGATCTTTCTGCCCTGTCCTTCTCAAGACTCATTCGTTTAATCCTTTTCTTGTGTTGTGGCATTAATGATTATTGATTGATCAATTTGAGAGACCTAAAGTACATTAAAACTATATCCCATATCATTCAACATATGTAAACAATGATTATTGCTGCTGTATATCTGATGGGAGTGTTGAGCAGCGCACAAGATGCTGACTGATCTCAAACCAGCATATAATGCTTATCTTGATAGAACCACAGGAAACATATCACAAGCTCTGTAGATCTTCTCTGTATGACAGCCATAACAAAATGAATTTCCCTTTTCACTTTTTTTGAAGTTGTTTTCATTTCTTGCTTAAAAAAAAAAACGAACACAAAAAAGTGTGGCAGTGTTTTGAGTAATCTAAACCATGAGAATGGATGTGCCTTTGCCGTTATCAAATTGAATCCAGATGTTTTTCATTTAAAATATGAATAAATTAATAATTTCTAAAATTGTGAATTGTTTCAAATATGTAGTTATATCAAGTTGCAGTTTTTTTTCCCTCGAGTACTCTTAAAACCTACAGTTTCACATCTATGTTGTTGTAGGTGTCTTGGTAACAACCTAACTGCAGTTTCTAAGTGTGATATCCTGTCCAAAAAAACCCCAGCAAACGTGACAAAGAAACATCACATGTGGTAATGAGTTCATGCATTTACTTGCCAAGGTACTTTCCTGTCAGACTGTCACATTGTGTGCCTCAGACATTTCTGAGAAAAGCAACTCATCAATATCGAGAAAAAAGAAAGGCAAAGCCAGAAACTCTTTGGTGGTACAAAGAAGCAACTGAATTTTCAGTTACTTCAGTCACCAGTGTCACATGATTCTTCAGAAATCATTCATCATAATTTCTTATTATGAATGTTTTTTTAAATAATAATAATAATTTATTATTTATTACTTTTTTTTTGTAAATCATGATACCCTTCCATTCAAAAGCTTGGGGTAAGTAAGATTTAAAAACAAAAACAAAAAGAAATTAATACTTTTATTTAGCAAAAGCACATTCAATTGATAAAAAAGGACAGTAAATACATGTATGAAATTAATAAATATTAAAAAATATATATATTTATAAATGCTGTTCTTTTGAATTTTCTATTCATCAAAGAATCCTGAAAGAAATCTCAGTTTCCACAAAAATATTAAGCAGCACAACTGTGTTTGACAATGATAATAATAAGAAAAGATTCTTGAGCATCAAATCATCATATTTAAAATGTAATAATATTTCATAGTATTCCTGTTTTTACTGTATTTTTGATCAAATAAATGCAGCCTTGGTAAGATTAAGAGACTACTTTCAAAAACATTACACACACACACACATATACAGTATATATATATATATATATATATATATATATATATATATATATACACACACACACTCACACACACACACCTTTGTGCTTTGTGGTTAGCACTACGGGAGTGTTTACTGTAGACAAATGCGGTCAATTTTTTTTCCATATCCATACACATAGCACAGGCAACTATTTAGGGCAGGTTCCATGTTGGACCATCAATAGGGGGCAGTATAACATTGCTTGTGGATGAAGTAAGACCAAATGTGTAGGAAGAAAGATGTTTGGTTTTTTATCAGTAATGCTGGCACACACATCACAGGACAAGAGAGACATTATAATTCGACAACGCTGAAAGCTGGTAGTTTATCAAACCTGGTGTATTCACTCAAATTTTACTCTCTTCAAAATAACGTTTCTTTATTAGCATTCATGGTTTAATGAAGACCCTTTAACATCCCTAAAACTGGAAGCTTTTTTTATAGTGGAACATATTTCTTTAGATCATGTTCTTCAAACTAAGAAAAAATGAAACTCTCAATGGTTCTTTTATAACCCCAAAATGGTTAATCTATGGCATTACTGCAAAAAAAAAAAAAAAAAAAAAACCCCAAAAACAACAACCTTATTTTGGACCCTTAGTTTTTGTGTTCATCTAGTTTAAAGAAAAGCCAAATTGAATTGTATTTGTTTTGGCAATATCAAACAACTTTCAGAACTTGGCTGCAGCTGTTTGAACAGATGCTTAATGACAAAACTGTTTTCGATTTCTTAGGACTGGATTAATTTTTGGACTGGAGAAATGTCACTGACCAACAGGCCCTCTCACAACAGCTGCAGTTAGTAGATGCTAAGCATCACTTGAAGTGACAACAGTCTGATCAGTACATCATGACAGCTTCTTGACCAAAAGTGTCTTTAAATATCACTGTACTTTTGGAAGTTAGAGAGTAAATGCTTTTCTTTCTAAATGTTCCTAAATTAACACTGGTCATTTTTAATCAGTCTTTTTTTTTTTTAATCTGTTTTGTTGCCATGTGCTACATGTCTGTTTAACCGACAAAAGTGGAATTGCAGATGCAGAGGGGATGTTTTCAAACTGAACTGATGTGACAAAAACACTTAGGGCTTTTCACACTGCCCTTATCATCATTCTAAACCTTATTTTAACCCCAGTAGAGGAACGTTTCACCCTTTAGAAACATCGCTAGATTGGGGCCAATGTTAACTTTTCCTGTTGCTGGAAAGCTCTTCGTCGTCTCTCGGATTGACTATTGTAACGCCCTTTAAGCCGGAGTTTCTAAATCTACACTACACAAGCTTCAACATGCACAAAATTCGGCTGCTAGGATCTTAACTGGGTCCAGAATATGCAATCATATCACTCCGGTTTTTGCTAATCCTTGCATTGGCTCCCAGTTAGGTTCCGAGTCGATTTTAAGATTATGATGCTCACATACAAATCTTTGCACGGTCTGGCTCCAAATTATCTAGCTGAACTGTTACACCCCTACACTCCAAATCGCAGATTGCGCTCCTCACAATCGAGCATGCTGGTTGTTAATAAAACTCGCTTAAAGTCTATGGGTGACAGGGCCTTTTTCTTCTATGCACCTGTCCTTAGGAATTCTCTGCCTCTTGAATTTAGGGAAGCCCAGACTTTTGCCATTTTTAAAGGTCAACTTAAGACATATTTTTTAAAACTTGCATTCACCTGTTGATGTGTTTGTTTGTTTGTTTTTTGTGATGGGATGCGTTTGCTTTAAACAATTGTCTATTGTGTGTACAGCGCTTTGAGAAGCTGCTTTTAAAGGCGCTTTATAAAATAAAGGTTATTATTATTATATTCTAATTTAGAAGCATTCTTTAGCAACTTTTTGTGCGAAAAAAGTCCATTCAGGAAAACACGTAATAGTACAGTCGATATACAAATATAAAATATATAAAATGAGAATCCATAATGTTAGAGTCTTTGTATAAACGGGTCGAGGGCTGTGTTCGTCAATCAATGGATTAATTGTTATCCTGTGTAAATTAGTTGTGTGAAACGTGAAGCAAGATAACTCAGGATTACGTTTCCTCTGGGTTTTTGCGACATTTTTCTTGCAATTCCGTGTTTATATGTCACAATTCTTATGAACTCGGAATTGCGAGAAAGTCAGAATTGTGAGATATGAACTGAATTGCGAGGAAGAAAGTCAGAATTAGGAGTTATAAACTGAACAGCGAGAAATAAAGTTAGAATTATAAGTTATAAACAGAATAGCGAGAAATAAAGTCAGAATCGCGAGTTATAAAGTGAATGGTGAGAAATAAAGTCAGAATTGCGAGATATAAACCAAATAGCGAAAAATAAAGTCAGAATTGCGAGTTATAAACTCTAAATTGTGAGAAATAAAGTCAGAATTGCGAGTTATAAACTCTAAATTGCGAGAAATAAAGTCAGAACTGCGAGTTATAAACTAGGTTTTTCTGGGATAATCCTCAAATGGTTCAGGTCACAATAAGGGAGGAGTTACTGTGAACATAGGTGACCATAAGTATAAGTGGACATCCTTGACATGCAGAGTCCCACAAGGCTCAATTCTTGGACCACTCCTGTTTAACTTGTATATGGTCCCCAATGAGCCAAATAATGAAAAAGAACCAAATAGCTTACCACAGCTATGCAGATCTCCTTAGCCCTATCGCCTACAGCCCCATTGACTCCCTGTGCCAATGCATAAATTAAGCTAACAGTTGGATGTGCCTAAACTGTCTTCAGTTAAACAAAGACAAAACTGAAGTCATTGCATGGAAACAAATATGAATACAAGGTCAAGCCAGGTGAATACTCTAGGTCCAAACAAACTTGGTGTGATTTTGGAGTCGGACCTTATGCCGCGTTCCAGGCAACCTGTAACCCGTGTTTTTCCAACCTTATACCTGTGAAAGTGCACTGGAACGGCAGTCAAACCCGTGACTTCCCACCCGTGAACTCGTACTAGATCGATGTACTCCCAGTTACGAGTTCTGACGTCACATAGCCCGCAAAACCATACAAAACAACAATGGCAGCCCCTACGGATGCAGTGTTTCTGCAGGCGGTACACAGTGAGAATACACTTTAGGACAATATAACGTTGCAGTCAAATTAATAATAATATAATAATAATGATAATAATAAACACACGATAATGTATTACAATGTTATGTGTCTGAAACAATAAGTATGTATATACACACACCCGATTATGTAATACAATGTTATGTGTCTGAAAAAATAAGTATGTATATTGCGCTCAGGTAGTTTGGCGTGACTGGCCTGGAACGCTACAAAGTCGTGAGTCGTGGTTTGAAGTCGTGATTTACGTGCTCAAAAACCTGCCTGGAACGCAGCATTAGTTTCAGAAAACGTCAAAGCAATAACTAAATCAGCATCTTATCTAAAAAATATTGCAAGAATTGGATGTTTTGTTTCAAGTCAAGACTTGTTCATGCTTTCATCACCAGCAGGGTGGACTATTGTAATGGACTCCTCACTGGCCTTCACAAAAAGACCATAAGACAGTTGCAGCTCATACAGAACGCTGCTGCCAGGATTCTGAGCAGAACCAGAAAATATGAACACATCACACCAGTCCTCAGGTCTTTACACTGGCTTACAGGTGCATTTAGAATTAACTTTACAGTATATTACTTGTTTATAAATCACTCAATGGTCTAGGACCTCAGTACATCACAGATATGCTCATTGAAAATAAACCTATCACTCGGATCATCAGGATCAAGTCAGAAATACCATGGGTTCACTCAAAGCAAGGCAAGTCCGCTTTTAGCTGTTATGCCAGCCATAGCTGGAACGATGCAGCTCTCCGAAGAGATCAGATGTGCTCGAACAGCTCCACATTCAAGACTCAAAACACATTGTTTAGCTGTGCATTTACTGTATGAGAACTGTGCCACGTCCGACTGATCGCACTTTATAGGTTTCCTCTTCTCATTTTTTTATAATGGATTTAATACATTTGAAATCAATTTCTTATTTTTTGTTTTTCTTATTTCCTATGCACTTGTTGTTGGTGATTATTTTATGACTCTTTTTTTAAACCATTTTTATGTAAAGCACTTTGAATGTGCCATATAAATAAACTTGCCTTGCCTACATTGCGAAAAATAGTCA